TTTATTAGTATTAATTTCTAGTTTAATTTGCAAAATTAATTTTTGAATTTTAATAAATTAAAAATTTACCGTATTAATATTATATTTTTATTGTTAAACCACAGGCGTCCATCTTCTGTGTATATTCCATGTCCTACAAGCGTTCTGGAGGTGGTTACATGATTCAAAACACCATATCAAAAAGAAGAAACGTCCCGTTATAATGAATAAAATGAAACAAATCTTTTATGCATTATCTGGCCCTGAAATGGATAAACATTATAAGGAATTCAAGCAAAGCTTTTATAAATATTAACCTTTACAAAAACATTTTAATCTTCTATGGGAGTGACGTCATTTTTGGGCTTTGTCTTTTCGCACTGTACTACCTATACACGAAAACAATATCAACAATTATATCGAACGAAGCTTTGGTATATTAAAGAATATAATTTTTGCCTGCACTCAAGTATATAATATTGTGCAAGTATTTCAGTTTATAACAGGAAGCATGGAGAGATTTTATGAACGAAGACTTCTTGGAATTGCTCACAAGCATCCTGGACATTTTCGTATTGCAAAACGTTTCCTATGTCCTGGTTGGGAAACGGTGGATATGAATTCTATTAAAAAAACAAGTGTAGCAAATGAATTTTTAGTGCAGAGCACGAGACAAGATAATATTTACTATGTAATTAATAGTGGAATGGGTGTATGCACTTGTCCAGTTAGTGCATCTGGTGCTTCCTGCAAGCATCAGGGCGCCGTCGCTATTAAATATCATATAGCAATGTTTAACTTTATACCTTCACTAACACCCGAAAATCACATAATTTATTTATATATCGCGCTTGGTAAGTAATAGCATGAAAATAGAGTATATTGTATATTAAATAATAATTACAAGTTTTAATTTTCTGCATATTATATTTACTATTTAAGTAATTTGGAGATGATTTTAAGGTTTTTTGTAGTTAAATTTCATATTGTGGCTTAGAATTCTGCAAACTAATAGGAACACAATGTTAGTTTGAAGCTTTTGGGACAAAATAGGTCTAACTATTTCTAGAAAGCTACCTAAGAACCTCTAAAAGCCTAATTTGATTATTTTTAAATAAATCTAATGGTTTGGAACAAACCGTTAGATTTATTTTGTATCACTAGAAAGGTTTCTATCTGCTCTAGAAGCTTTATTTTAATAT